AGGAACTAGATAGTTGAATCAACTTACTAGCGGCCTTTCACACTTCCGTGGAGTCGGTAGCAATAAACGTGCGTAACGTATCGTATATGTAACAATGGCCCGTGTGCAGGCCTGCTCTACAGTTCACCCATCCGCTAAATAAATCCATGCATTTATTAATTAATGGCAATCCTCTTTTACTTCCATCTTAGGCTGTTGTAGCTTCGCCACTCCAGTCCCGCTAAGGCACATCCGCCAACTTACATCCCTGGGCGTGCGGAACCTCTGTCTTAGTCACAGGGATCCTAAACCTATGGAAATTTGAGAGCGGTCGCGCCAAGGGAGGCTTTCGGTCGATTGCTGACATGATGAAGCTCGACCCTCTAAAGCCGAAGGAGCAAGCCTTGTCCAACCACATCATCAAAAGTTTCAACCGAACCCATTTCCAGAACCTGCTAATGGAGTGGATTGTGGGCAATAATCTCGCCTTTGCGACCGTGGAACACAAAGAGCTTCAGGCCATATTTGAATACCTGAACCCGTCAGTGCGCATCTGTGGCGCAAACCTCACGGCCGATTCGATTCGATCGAGGGTCCTCTCGGCATATAAAGAGCATAAGGATAAGGTTATTGAAGTCCTCCAGCGAAGCCTTGGGTTGGTGCATCTCTCCTTCGACGGATGGCGGTCGGGAAATCGCCTGGCTCTCTATGGAATCGCGTGCTTCTACCGAGACGAGAACAACAAACCCTGCAAGATTGCAATCGGCGTCCCGGGGTTGTCGTCCAGGCACTCTGGCGCGAACATTGCGACCCAGATTCTCGACGTAATTGACCAGTATGCCATTCGAGACAAAGTGGGTTACTTCACTCTTGACAATGCGGAGAACAATGACACAGCTATGGATGAGATTGGGAAAGATCTCGGCTTTGACGGGAGGATGAGGCGGGGTCGTTGCTACGGACACATCCTCAACCTTTCTGCTAAGGCACTGCTATTCGGGAAGAACCTGGGTGCGTTCGAAACCGAGCTTACGGGTGATGCATTGCTGGCCGAGGCCGAATACGAGCTTTGGCAGAAGAGAGGCCCTCTGGGCAAGATTCATAACATCGTGGCGGAGATCCATCGCTCGGATCGGCTGACATACATGCTTTAGGGTCTTTAATTAGACGACATTAATAAGGCTCTAGACCTAAAGGTCCGAGTAAGAAAGCCCCTGTCTGTTGTGGTTGATAATAATACGCGATGGCTGTCATAGCTATATATGATTCGCTGTGCTATTAAGCTTCGCCCGTATCTTGCAATGTTAAGAGTCAAGCGAAGATTGGAATAGGAGCAGAAAGAGAAGCTAAAGCGCTTAACGGAGAGGAACTCAGCGAATATACCACGCATTTGCCGACTAGAGCTTGACGTTATAAGCCACGACTGGGATGCTCTCGAACATATCGTGATGATTCTAGGCCACTACGAAAACGTAGTGAAGACACTAGAAGGAGATAGCATCATAAGAAAGCGGAAGCATGGATATACTAGATCTTATGGTAATATCTAGGATGTGATCCACAGCTTCGAGTATCTACTTGGAGTGCTTGAACACTACAAGTCAGTAGCGGAAGACTTTCCAGAGCCGGAGCACTTCAAGGTTGGCATCAATCTGGCATGGGAGAAACTCGACAAGTACTATTGTAAGTTAGACGAGACGCCGATCTATTATGCAGCTCTGGCTCTCCACCCGGCATATCGGTGGGACTGGTTCACAGACCACTGGGCAGAGCACCCGGAATGGGTGGATAAGGCAAAGCACATGGTACAGGACGTGTGGGGAAGGAGCTACGCAAACCTTGCCGTTGTCGTAAATGCAGAGAACCAGGAGCCGGTTGCGAAGCGCCGGAAGCAGTACCACAACGCGTTTGAGGATCACTGCTTTGAAGCGCGCCGAAAACCGGCTGAGCAGCATCGCGCCATCGGACCGATCTTAGACGAGTATGAGGCCGGGGACGAAGCGGTTCGCGACCCACTAGAGTATTGGCATGAGAAACGACTGCGATATCCGCGTCTTCCCGCATGGCGCTGGATTTCCTCACTGTGCAGGCGATGTCGGCGGAATGCGAGAGGATGTTCTCGGCTGCTGGCCGTATGGTAACCCCGATAAGGGCTTCTCTCGACGCTCAGATCATTGGCATCTGTCAGATATTGCGCTCCTGGCTGCGAGCAGGAATTGTCGGGAATAAATGCGAGATTGGGTTGTTTTCCTTGGTAGAAAATATTGACCCTGAGGGAAGCGCGCTCACAGCAGCGGATGATGAGGCACGTGTGGTGCATCATGCTTCATCGACATGGTTGTTGGAGAAAGCGGCGCAGCACATTGACGAGGAAAACTTGTGGGAATGATGACTTCATGGCTAATATAAATGCATCGTAATATGCATATCCCACGATAACAAACAGCATGACGCAGATTGGCATGTAACAAATGCACAAAAAGTCGCATCACGTGCACGCACATACACTTGATGTACATCAATCACTCTTGAAGGTCAGTTGATACACTCAACCAGACCTCTGCTGACTAACATACACGTACATTACATCAAAGGTCTTGGTGTACGTTGATGTAGTTGATCGGAGCCCTGGATGCGAATCGAATAGGCCTACTATAGATTCGATATCGAATCGAATGCCCAGTCATTTGATTCGACATTCGTAAGAATTGGCATCGAATGAATCTATCGATTCGATTCGCATTCGATAGATGTCCAACCCTGTATGCAGCTACTTATATACTTGAATCTTTTGAGCTCTACATGTCGCGGCAGCATGCAAGCTTTACAGGATACTAGCAGTAAGCAGAGGTCAGTTTTGACGATTCTGGCCTGGCTGGGTTGAAGCTTTGAACGAACGTGGGTGCAGCCTAACATGACGTTGAGCGTGCTCGCGATATACTGACAATGAAGAGTCCATAAAATAAGTACAGCATTGCTATTGGGCAGCTGAGCGCCTTCAGCCTTGTCCGTTATCAATTCTCTCCCGTTCTAGTGGTCTAGAATTGGTCCCCAGGAACATGGGGTCCGGAGTTCGGCACAAGCGAGGGGGGCTGATTATAATGCCCAACTGTAACTGGGCGGAGCGGCCAGCCATGTCTGATCTGGATTGGATGATTAGCTTGCGCCAAAATCGCTAGTTTCATGCGACAGCAAACATCGCGGGGAGACTCTGGGGACTTTTGTCCAATTCTCCAGGGTTCAAATATGCAGTTATCCGCTCCGAAATCGTACCTACACTAAAATGCTTCCTCTTATTGCACACCTTGACGACTAACAGAGGACGATAGGTAGTCAGTCAGGTCCTCTCCTCTCCAGCTTTCCCCAAATCACATTCACATTTTCCCCAAACGCTGTCCATCTCTTGTCGCTGGTCACTGGTAACTATGGCTTGGGGGCGCGATTGGCTCTTTTTTGGCGCCGCATGGTGTCATTTCCTCGCCGGCTCACTCGTCGCCGCTGCCGCTGCTACCGATGCGCCGGTTATTCGTGGCTGCGATGGAGACGGTAACTTTGGGCCACCATTCAACGCAACTGGCACTGTCTCTTTCGTAGCAGAGAGCTTCACTCACAACAATGGCAAGCCATGGTATCTGTCAGTCGGTCTCAAGGACAGGCGTGACAAAAACGCCGCCTACCCGGGTGTGCAGACAGCGACCGGCTATCTTAGTCTACCAGACGACTATGTCCGCAGTGCCAGGACCAACACAACTCAAATGTGTGTGTACCACTTGGGACAACGAAACACGACAGCCTCGCCGGATGGCTCATGCCAGGGCGTCATTGACGACGCATGCGCCAAGTTGATTCACAAGTTCCAGGAGTCGCCATCCTTCTCGAATGGGAAATGTCCCCTGTTGCCCTCCGATGATGTTTGTGGAAGCCAAATATTCCAGTTGGGTAAGTTGTCTTTGCCAGATCACTACAGAAAAGGAAAAGGAAAAAGAAAAAGAAAAAGAAAAAGAAAAAGAAAAAGAAAAAGAAAAAGAAAAAGAAAAAGAAAAAGAAAAAGAAAAAGAAAAAGAAAAAGAAAAAGAAAAAGAAAAAGAAAAAGAAAAAGAAAAAGAAAAAGAAAAAGAAAAAGAAAAAGAAAAAGAAAAAGAAAAAGAAAAAGAAAAAGAAAAAGAAAAAGAAAAAGAAAAAGAAAAAGAAAAAGAAAAAGAAAAAGAAAAAGAAAAAGAAAAAGAAAAAGAAAAAGAAAAAGAAAAAGAAAAAGAAAAAGAAAAAGAAAAAGAAAAAGAAAAAGAAAAAGAAAAAGAAAAAGAAAAAGAAAAAGAAAAAGAAAAAGAAAAAGAAAAAGAAAAAGAAAAAGAAAAAGAAAAAGAAAAAGAAAAAGAAAAAGAAAAAGAAAAAGAAAAAGAAAAAGAAAAAGAAAAAGAAAAAGAAAAAGAAAAAGAAAAAGAAAAAGAAAAAGAAAAAGAAAAAGAAAAAGAAAAAGAAAAAGAAAAAGAAAAAGAAAAAGAAAAAGAAAAAGAAAAAGAAAAAGACGCATGCTTATTCTGAACCAATTTTAGACACGCCAATCACGCCGATACGCAGTAATTGCTCAACCAGCGTGCAGCCTGTGTTGGCTGGGCTCCCCGACGCGTACAACACCCAGCCAATCTTTGACTTGGGGTTGCCCTACGGAGACACCAAGGTGGACGCTTTTACTGCGTTTGACTCGCACGTACGTCAGTCGAATCCTGTGCTGCTCGTTTTCGGGGCCAAGCAAGACCAAGATGGCAAAATTGTCATGTATGATAGCAAGTTGCTGTGTGTAGCGCCTGTCAATGCGACGGCCGGAAGCCATGTTCCCAAGTCTTCGGCCGGTGAACTACGAGTACCAATGGCGTTGCTTTCAGTAACCGCTGCCATCACCCTTCTTGGGCTCTTTCTTTGTTGATGCATGACTGCGCTGCGGCGTGGCGTATTTGCAGGTCAACACAGAGATCATGTTCCAGTTGTGTCATTGGATCGCCATGTCGATTCAAAATTACATTAATTTATTTCGAAAGACTCATGCTTAAGTCAGAATATGTCTCGATACACCTTCTTTTGCGCGGCTTTGAGCTTGTTGTTTTCAGTTATTGCCAGTCCTCCGGCCTGGTACCAGACTGTCAGGTGTACAACGGCGGGCTCACATTACTTTTCGCCTTGGCGGTCTACATAGAATCTATCATTGTTAGCGTGCTGGGCTGGTGTGTACTAAGGAGACCACCAGGCAGGGCTGAATTGTTAGAAGCACTGTCGATGTGATAGCATCAGTCAGCGTTGATTCCGTGCAGCGGGAAACAGGTCCGAGGCCCAAGTAGACGAGTGAGGGCAAAGCTACGGTCTCCTCCTCCTCCTCTGCTTCCTTGCTGCCCGGGAGCATAGCGTCGGCGCGGCCCCTCAGCGCTCGAGACCGGACGAGTCGGGGTGCATCCACTCTCGGTAACTGGACAGCGATGGGCCGCCTTGGACGGCCGGTGGAAAAGGTAGGGGTAGCCACCGATCATGTCTTTCCCAGCCTCATGCGTAGCCAGTTCATCAAAGATCGGACGCTGCACCGTAATGGCGGTATTGTTCCGAACGGTCAATGGAACGAAGACCGCTTTAGCTTAGCAATGTGTGCTACTAGGAATCTAATATTCATATGAGCGCTATCTACCAGCGAATTGTGTTATTCTATCCGTCATCTATAGGTTGTGAGGAGCATTCCCTTGGCGCGACGCACCAGCTCGGTCCACATGGCACTCCGATCCTCTCTCGTCCGGACAACGGCGTCTCTATTCTCCTCAGCCCTGCGCAGCAAGTACTTCATACACTCTCCCCTGGTACCCCAGGCCATGTACTTGTACACGGGCAGGCAGGCGACCGCCGGCGTGGCCGTTTGTGCTGGGGACTCAGATGTGTTCAAATGGACGAGCTCGCAGCTAATCTCATCTGCCATTCCTTGCAGCTGCGCAAATAAAACTTCCGACTTTGCGCGGCCCGATGCGTAGATGGCGTAGGCTTTTCGCACCGAAGCCGCATTGTGCGTGGCGAACATGATGCTCGTCTCGGGATAGTCGCCGTTCCCTTGGAGAGTCTCGTTCCACGAGCGAGTGAGAACGCTGGCTGCCGTGGCATCATAGCAGGCATCGGTGTCGGGCTTGCTGGCGTGGAGACGCCCGGGGGGGTCAGAGTGAAGATAGGCACCACGGACCAGCTTGACACCGAGGGTAAATCCACCGTCTAGCGCCTCTGCGAGGTGCGAGGCGAGAGTCTGGGGCATGCTCTTTTTGTAGGCCTGGTATGTACCAAAGATGACAGCCTTGCCGGGGATGGTGTTGTACTTCCTGGCGAGCTGCATAGTCCAGCTGTCGATGCTGTTCTGCAGCTCGTCATGTTCGCCATCGATGAGAACTCGAACGCCGCGCTCGCGAGCACAGTCGCATACTTGATTGATGGCGTAGGTAAGATACGGTCCTGGAGGCAAGCCCTGCGCGAGCTGCTCATATGCAAGACTTCCCGCGCCCGTAAGCCTCGAAATCATTAGTACACTGGGCACAAACTTGGTATAGCTGCGAGCTTACTTGAGAGCAACAAAGTCGCCGGCTGTGGCAAGGCGCACGGTTTCCAGGGAGCCCTCGAACCAGTTGGATATCTCCCTATCCGCCTTTTTATTCGTGCCTCCTGGTCTTTTCAGCAACGGAGAGCCCTCTTTGTCGGCAGGTTCGGAGGGAGTTTCCTTGGCATACGCTAGTATCGCGCCCGTGAATCCAATATGCTTGAGATTGGCAATGCTAGCAGCCACCTCATCTGCGTCTTCGCCAGCGCAGAATTGGTCGTAAAGACACTTGTTCAAGATGAATCTCAGCCCAGTGTTGCGATCTGGGTCAAGAAATCTAGAATCGCTATATGCAAGCGTTCGCAGCACATAGAGCGATATTGAGAGCAGCTTCGCCGACGAGGAAAATGTGCTCGTGGCGAGAGACCGTATAATCATGCTCAGTGGAAGCATCGCAAGTGGCTGGAGCTTGGTACTTCTGTGGTCCTCAAATGGCTTATGATGGCTCTTGGCGTCCTCGTCTGTCCTATTCGTCGATGCCGCTCCATCTGTATGTGATAAACGTCGGACGCCACTGACTAGATTGATGCTGCTGCAGCTAACGCTCTTTCCTCGGGGTAGAGCAGTAGCCTGATGAATTTTCAGGCCGTATTGTGTCGCATCACTCATCAGTCGTCCATTCTGGCAAAGGTGCGTGCCGGCATATGCCAAAGTGTGTCGCATCTGAGCTGTGTATACTGACGAACCATGCAATGCCGCTCGTGGCTATGGCTGTGAAAAGATCAACTCTATAGCGTATTCTAACGCTTTTGGGAATTCTCACTGTCGGTGTATTATTTCATGATATCATTGACAGAAGATTTTGTGTACCCGTTGCCTTTGATATACTTTGCAGTGGGCGGGCAGTGGCTATTTGCAGCATGATCGACCCGTGACGCCATCATGACGCTGCCAAAGCGCGACCCTGTTCCGTACCCCCACGTCAATTCATAAGCAATGACATTTACCACAAGACCTTGAACAACCTTCGATACAGCTAAAGTGTTAGAAATGAAATTAATAAAAACGTCTATATTAGTAGACATGGGCCACTAGCTCTTCTCGGCCCTCATTTGGCATGCCGTGACCTTTGTTCTACAAAGGGACACTATTTATATGCAATTTATGTACAATTAGCAAGTTGAATACTAGGCGGTTTTTGGTTAGTGTACCTCGGGCCGTTACCGTATGATCAAACGGTAACGCCATTAAGGTAATTTATTAATAATTTATTCTGGATGAAAATATTTTGATTTTATTGATTCTGATTGCAATATGATTGTCACGCGACACTGCTATCGCAATGGCCAGTGCGCGTCACTCGTTTCATTATCTACCACTTTTCCTGCGTAATATTGTGAGCTTAAAAAGATTTACCTTCTTTGGAAGCAATTTCAGAAGTTAAAGTCACTCTATATTACCTATCTTTCAAAAGAGAGTTATTATCTAAGCCAGAACACCATACCGTCTCTCTTATTCCAGACAGTAACGTTTACGAGAGCCAGTCTATTAGTGTGTTATTCCTAAAGCGGATCTGGTTTTAAAATTGGCCTTGCCACCTAGTAGGGCGGGCAATGAATGATGTCAGCATGTGCTCATGACAGCGCTGCGAAACGCAAGAAACCTGGAGAAGAAAAAGTAGAGTATACGAGCGTCCCATAAGTAGCGATGCAAGAGCATCCAAGTCTTGCCCAAGGTTCCCCCTATTCTGCGTGATGTCGAGAACACTCGTTCAAAGGCAACTCAGGCTAATAAGCGTTTTTCACCCCCAAGTATTGCTTGACAATGTCCACTAAAATTGCTCCCGGAGAGGCGTTCGAGCCGCGCCAAACATACAACACGTCCGACTTCACTCCCGTCAAAGACAAATCTATTCCGCTTTCCCCCAAGCGGCAGGCTCTTCTCGACGACGTTGTTGCACTGTATTCATGCCGCCCTTCAATCGAGCGTGTGAAGCGCTACACCCCCGACGCCGTTTACGACGACCAGTTTGGCTACGCAAACAACCGCTACAAGATTGCAGGCCAGTGGTTTGCACTCCCCGAAGCTCTTTAAGGCTAGTGAGAATTTGGGCTACGAAGTCACACGGAATGATCCCGACATGATTGAGTTCAAGAACCAGCAGAAGTGGACGTTTGCCATATTGCAAAAGACTGCCACTATCGACTCTATGGTTACTCTGAAGCTGGATCCAGAGACTGTGGATCAGGACTTTATTCGCATCAAGTACCATAAAGATCAAGCAAACGAGAAGGATTACAGTCACCAAGGTCTAGGTTTCAATTTTAAGAAATGGCAGGCCGATAATGTTCCCAAGTACATTAACTCTGAGGAGGTCAAGTATCCTGAGAAGAACAAAGACGCGGCTACCCAACCCCCAAATAAGGAATAAGAAAATGGATCAAGTCAGTAGTCTATACCTACGATGAGGTTTAGTTGGAGGTCACGGTTGAGTAATTTTTTTGAGATTAAACGACGAATTATTCTGCGACTGTCTTATTATAAGAAACTAAGCCATGCAAGTAGGCGAAGGGGCTCGTTTTTTCAGCTCGACCGCCAGCGACCTCGTCGGTAATCACAGAGGGCGAACAGCAACATACATAGTTAACTACAGTACCTATGTTCATAGGTAGGGAGGGAGGGTACTTCTACTTTGCTGCCTCTGTGCGCCAACTCATGTCCATCCGTGTTCGGATTGCCGTTTTAATCCTGGCCGCGTCTCAAAAATGTATTTTTTTGCCAGTAGCTAATTTTATTTACTGAAGAAACTTATCGCTATTGCACAATTTTGTTGTTTAGCATCCAAGGCGTCGTCAAAAACTGATGCCTTTTTTATTAGCGGTTAGCCAGCCTGGTAGATACCCAGGGCAGCGACATGAGGGTTGATTTGCGTCAAGTTGTATGGGGTTACATAAAGGTCCACGTCCGTCAGCGCCAAAAACATTGTGCCATTTACAGCCGGGTTCCCTTCCCAGGTCGATGCGTTTGGCTGAATAGTGTATGCAGATCTGTTTTGCAAGTTCACATTCTGAAGCGACGTGTAGGTGACATTCAGCTGTGAGATCCAGGCTGCAAACTTGGGCTCCTGTACGTTGCTAGACGTGATGTAGCTGTTGTTTGGTCCCACCGGTTGCCCAGGCTCATCCCATTGAAGGAAAACCTGCCGGCCAGGGTAAGACAGCGGGATACTGCGGGTCTGGGAAATTGCTGCTGAGCAGTCCATCGCCTTGTCGGTTGCGTTGACACAAAGCTCCGAGCTGGAAATGTTGGCAGTCGACAGTGTGTTGCTTGACCCGGCTATCGTTTCGTTCCACGCAGCCGAACCATTGATGAGAGCCGGGTTGGGTTGGTTGAGAATATGCAGCGCTGGGAAGTTTTGCCAGACGAGACGAGTTTGATTCGCTGGACAACTGGAGATGTACGGAGCCAGCAAGGTCCATGCCCAGCTCTGGGGAATACCAACGGTGTGCCACTCCGGCATCGGGAACTGCCCTCCAAACTGGCGGAAAATCAGCTGCTGGCGCGCTTCAACAGTGATGCTTTGAAGAAGCAACTGCGCGGCAGGTCCCGAATTCAGATGAGACAAGAAGCCGTAAACTCCGGCTTCGCCCCAGCGAGTGAGCTTCTGGTTGAAGTCGATGTACTCTCTGACGTTGGAGACCGGGTAGTTGTAATTGCATTGCATGGGCGCTTGCGGCCCAAGCATATTGGTAATGACTGTGGCGTGCCCGATCTCTTGCTCGGCCATGTACTGGAGAAGATATCTGGATTCGGCGTCGATCCCATACTCTTCAAACTCGCTGTCTTGAAACCTTTCCAAGCCCCAGCGGAACAAGTCTAACTCAATCCACTCCTGATAAAGTGCCAGAGCGAGCGACTGGTAGTCAAAGTCGCTCTGCACTCGGTACACTGGCGCGAATCCGTTGGTACCGATACCTCCGTTAGGTGTGAATGGGGCCGGCAATTCTGCATGCAGCTTGCCATCTGCAGGGTAATCATAAGAGTCATTTGCGGGGGGCAGAGCTGGGACAGAGGGCGCAACAACGGCCGTTGAAAGAGCCCCGGTAGTGGTTGCTGGCGAGCCCGTGTACGGTCCATGAGACACTGTTGCTTGGGTCACAGTGGTTGGGGCGGTTTGATCTGCTGCTAATGTAGAGCCTTGTCGTCGGTGCAAGTATGGTACTGCCTGAGCAATGCCCAGCAATACAAATAAGGTGGCCAAGGATGCTGCTTTGGCCATGATTGCTGTAATAACATAGGCGTAACTACTTTTATATTGAATCCTTTTCATCTTTTTCTAACAAGGAATGGCATAAGTACATTTATAGCACTCACTCGAAACTCCGCGCCTCTATACAAGAGAAGAACGACTAACACGGGGGGTAATTTTAAGATGATTCATTTCTGCATCATGGAAAATGAATAGATAGCATCTAACTAATATAACCGAGCGCTTACGTAGCTGTCGGCTGCTGGAAATAATTCTCCTATTGCGCGTTAGTGGCCATAGAACTTTAATCCACAGAATTACATAGCTTGATGCAGATCTTCGCCTGACACGGCCACTTCGGTCCACCACTATTAACTTTGCTAAGTCTTGATATCATTCTGACCCCTTAGTGAGGCGCATTATTCTCAGAAAGGATGCATGGTACAGATCTCGTTATAATGTCTCGATTACTCGGCCGCTTTATTTGCAGTTATATCTAAGTCTTAATATCATTCTGACCTTTTGTTATACGACCTTTTCTCGACCGAGGAAGACTGTTTCTGTTCATCATTGCGTCACCTACTACAGGCATAGCATTGAAGCTGTAGCTATTGCAGCATATGACGAGGCTAAATTAGGTTTCGAATCACAAAGTATCGTAAGTGGTAAATGCACCACCTTTTAACTTCTTATTAGATAAGCAGGTAATTTATTGTAGTGTATGCAGTATGGAGGCAATATAAATAGAGTGTAGCTTTCCTATCCACTGCATTCAACCTAAACTCAAGCTACACCTTATTCCGTTGTTAAACACAACCAATGAACAGATTGCAGCAAAATACTTTTGCAGCCGTCATTCAGTCTCGACTATATTCGTTTATTGCACACCGACAAGTTTTACCCACAAATCTACGCACCCCACAGAGAGTTGCTTTAAGGCTACTGCCCATAGTGTATTCCTTACCCTCATCTAGGAGTCATAAGACGTTATTGCCTCGGCCGTTTTCCTTAATGTCGAAAAGTCAAGACGGCAGCTTCAAGCCTGTGCCAGAGGCACAGGCTCAAGATCTTCCAGGGTATACTGCAGGCCAATTAATAACTTCTGGAATAGAAACGAAATACCAACTGACAAATAAATGAATAGATTAGAGAAAGACATGGTGCCAGGAAGCGAGCCAACCAAACTGGAGGGCCAACACCAGCACCATGAATATCTTGCGGCAGGCAAATTAAAGGGCAACAAAGCTCTGGTCACGGGCGGAGAGTAAGTTTTTCGACAGCTACCTTTTTGAAGTCGTTGCCAATAAAAATGCTAATTAACCCTTCTGCCCCTAGTTCTGGCATCGGCCGCTCGGTAGCAGTCTTGTTCGCTCGAGAGGGCTCTGATGTCACGATTGTGTATCTTCCAGAAGAAGAAGAGGATGCAAAAGAGACCAAAAAAATGGTCGAGAACGAAGGTAGAAAGTGTCTATTGATCCCGGGAAATTTGATGGATAAAGACACTTGTCTTGATGCAGTCAACAAGCATGTCAAGGAATTTGGCGTTATTCACACGCTTGTTAACAACGCCTCCAAGCAAATCATGTGTACCGATTTTGCCGAAATTGACCTCGACAATGTCGAGAGCACATTTAGGAGCAATATTCTGCAAATGTTTGCCATGACGAAGTTTGCGTTGCCTCATATGCGCAAGGGCGGGTCGTATGTTCTTCTACCCCAACCTCATACTCAAAGTCTCCGTCTTGTCACTAACGTTACATAGAATCATCAATACGACATCTACTGTCGCCTTTCGAGGAACGGCTGCAATGGTGGATTACTCAGCAACAAAGGGTGCCATTGTCTCTTTCACCAGGTCCTTAGCGAAGCAGCTGCTGCCCAAGGGTATCCGCGTAAACGCGGTCGCCCCTGGGCCGGTTCATACCCCATTGCAGCCTGCTTCACGACCACCAGAGCAGATGGAAGGATTCGGAAAGTCGTCCCAGATTGGACGACCTGGCCAACCAAGTGAAGTAGCGCCCAGCTTCATTTTTCTCGCCTCCAAGGACTCAGAGCTGTATTATGGCCAGGTGTTACACGCATATCCGCTTGGAGATTAGCTATAATAACAGGTAGAGAGTTATGTGTGAATCGATGAAGTAATATACCAAGTTATGTATTGAGATTCCTTAAAAGACGTCCTATTGTGTCTAGCTAGATAATCTCCTGGCTGACAAGGCTGCCTTACGGTAGTACTAGGTAGTTAGTAGTAGGCGTCTTTTTTATAGTTGATAAATTATTCTTGCACTGGCTAGACAGAATCTAGGGTACCGCCATGGCACGAAAGGTAATCTGTAATTAGGCTACTTCTATGACAAGATAGTGACGTCGGTATATCCCCTATAGCAACCTAATCTATGCAATTTGCTTGAACATCTCGTCTGGCAGTAGATGCTATTCGCCCAGCCCGAACACGATTTTTTCTTCCCACCGTATATTGGATTTACACATCCAACAAAACACGGAATCGCCGAGTGTATGTGCTTGGCTGGCGATCAATCATGACAGTCTCCTTCTTGGACGCGATTGATCTGCTACAGAGAACAGCCAGTAGAGAGACACCGCAAGCTCAATCATCAGAAACCATCCCTATAGTTACACGATTGGAAGAATTGCTACCACTTAATGTTGCAGCCCTCGAGCAACGCCTGTTTATAGCACCTCTGCTATGGACGGCTTTCTCGTCTGCTCTTCGGCCACAAGCCACGCGACACCGGATTCTCCTGCGACATTCACCGTTGTAGGTACAGTTGTCCCGGGACAGAACCTACCGAAATGTACTGTTCCGCTTTGGGAGAGCGCAGGCATCTGTATAGAGGTAATGACGGGCGGCCCGTTTCCTGTGGAAGACGACGATTTCAAGGATCTGAACGCCTGTGTTCCTGTGGAACATTTGTCGGCCTCTATCTCTGTTAACTTGAAGACTGGTCATGCCACAAAGTCCATCATTGTTGCGCACGCCGTTACTGCAGGAGCGAGCCGCCGGGCGAAGGGGACTGACCTAGCAATGGGCCCGTCCCTGGTCGTCGCTGGCCAGCGAGGACTTTCATCCCATCTGCTACCGCTTCTATCTGCCGAAGTCGGATCCATCTGCGTGGCTTCGAGGCCCGTGGTCGGCATCTGGCCTGCAGACAACGAGTTCGTGTCTCATGCGTCGAATGCGCGTATAGACAATGGGCCATACCTGATGGCTCTGTGTCGGGACTTTGATGCCGACCCGGTGTTTATAGGCTACGTAGATGACGATAAACAAAACCACAACAAATACAAAGGGTAGCCGAGACAGGCCGATTTTCTAATAGAGTCAGCACGCGCGCCGTCTCTGTGGGGAAGTTTGACCTTGTCCAGCCTGCTTTGATGAGCTGCGGAGCGGACATTCTGTTTCATGGTCTTTCTTTTCGCCCCGAACACCCCGTGTTGTTTGCGACTTTGCCCTCGAACTTGCCATGTTGCTCGCATCAAAGACATCACATATGGTATTGTAGCAGACAGCGAATTAATAACGGGCAAGAAGTTGTTGCGGCAGATTAAGAGATCACCCTATAAAGCCAAGTGTTGGCAGGCTAGCCTCCAACTGTTGCAAGCACTTCCATATCAGACTCCGCCCGCATCTCGATGGTAGTATCAGGAGCAATGAAAAAGATCTGGCCCTGCTTGAGCTCAAAGCCCAGTCCTTCTCCGAGCACCTTCCCATATCCAGAAATGACAATAGCCACAGTCGGGCTCCGACGGTTCCAGACCAGCTCTCCGCTCCCCGCATCCAATTTCACCTTGAACACGCCAAACTCCTCAATGGGTGGTGAGTACACCGTGATGCACGTATCCTCCTTACCACCACCACTTTCGTCTCCGTGCGACAGCTGCTTTGCAGGCAGACGGATATTTTCCGGGTGTGTCTCAGGCCCGAACAAGAGCGTCTCGCAGAATACATCGGCATTATCACGATCTGCGGCAGGACACAGGCCGTTGGCCAGCATATTACTCAAAGATGTCGCCCGAAATGTAGCAGTGGACGCCACCGGCAGGGATAAAGATGGCCTCGCCGGCTTCAAGCACAAAGTAATTCATACAGAGCACGGCCACCAGAGTCCCGGGATCGGTGTTGGTGTACTGTGCTTGCAGTTGGCCAAGAACCCGAAGGAGGTAGTTTGACGTCTGCGAGCCGGTGCTCTTAGAATCTTGCTCGAAATGTACTTTCAAGTCCTCTTGAATGGCTTGGATAGTATCAGAATCGATTTTTAGTAAGCCGCGTACGACATGGCGCAGGGTCTCGTCAGTCCATGATGTTGTGGACGGCACAAAGCGACGGAGGTTGGGCGTGTTGAACAAGGGCGAGATACGATCAAGCGGCTTCCAACCAGCAAAGAGCTCAAAATGCGACAGAGCAATTGCGATCTCAGGTTTGTGGTTAGAATCCGGGAATCTCTCGGGGTTTTGTTGGTGCAACCGGGCAGCCTGGGCCTTATTGGGATGGACTTGCAGCGGAAGGGCCTTGGCTATGGAGAGGATCTGTGTGATGCGTGTTATTAAGAAAGTAAGGAAAGCATTCTATGGGAGGAAAGTAATGACCTTTGGCAGGTATGGCAATTGATCGCCAAATTTGTCGACAGAATGCTTACCAAGAAGCTTCATCTTGTTATTTCGCAGCATATCGCCGAGGTCTTGGCGATCCCTCAACCGAGCCGGAAAGTCAGGGTAGTCCCCAAACCACATCTCAGAATAGTGTTCATTTTCGTCGACTCGAAAATCGTCTCGGGACGTCGCTGCACACAGGCGTGCTGCGAGAGATTTGGTTCCTTTGCGACCCCACGGGTAGTTGTTGCATGTGCCGTAGAGCCCGAATGCTGTTGGGTGTATTTCCATTATCTCGACTGGAAATGGATGAGACTGTCTGAATTGAAACCGGGGATTCGTTTGGGTATTGCTCGCAGAAATGCAACTTGAAAAAAAAAATCCGGAGGCGAATGCACATTATTATGACAAACAATTTGCTCAGGTGCTCCAGTCATTAACAAGTCTTGACCTCAGTGTGACGATGTCTAGTCAAATGCACTAATTCTTAATTCGGCCATGATAATCCACAGCTACTTAAAGAAGTGTTTTTAGAATTCAGGGCAGGTAAAAGTAGTAATGGGGGATTAGGTTGTTCTGTTATACATATTTTTCTAGTTCCGATGGTTCATGGCCTTTCTTTTCCAAGCTTGCAAGGGGGTTAGGCCAAGGTGTATTGATGAAGCTATGTAGTTAGCACGTCCAAAAGCCTACACTAGGGCGCCGACCGACGTAATAGCCACATCAAATCAAAAGAAATAAGAATACAGAGGCGGAAACTGACGAAATGCCGTACTTCTCGGCAGAAAAAACTTTCATTGGAAAGAGAAATTTTTATTGCATCGCCAAAAGCCACGCATTTCAATGCGGCATTATGCTACTGCCACTCACCGAAGGATGCTGCTGATGCCTGACCGCGATCCAAATCTCAGCACTCGGCAGGTTTGTGAGAAGCCGGTGGGCTAAGCATGCTGGCTAGCTGGGCCCTTCTGAGCGATCGTGACTGGCGTCCTCCAGAGCGAAACACAGAATTACGGTGACGGACGGGCGTTGTGTCTTCTGCGTCATGGGCAACCTTCTGTCGTTTGTGCAGCCTAGACGGGTTCTCTCCTCTCGGAAGGGTCATCAGTATGACCATTGTCAGAACTGGTCACCCTCCCGCGCTTGGCATAGGCCGCACGGTGTGTCACCGGTGCCAGAAGTAAAATGTACAATGTATTGATTACCTGCCTGCGGCAAAATTAAATGACAATGTGCGGAGATGTATAGAGAATATGCGAAGCCAGTATTGCCTACACGCCCGCTAATCCCTTGTCGCCGCTATAGACAATGCTACATTTGTCACGCAGCCCAGTCTCCGTGTGCATCACCTCCCTCTTCGAGTCACCCTCTGCTTTGCTGGAGGCGACGAGCGCCAGTATAGCTGACAGACATATATCCATAGCGCAAAGATGGCCGTCGCTGTAAGGACGCTGCGAGACCATTGCGCATCGTCAATTGCCGGGATGCTAGTGGGAGTCAGCGCAATGAGCGAGTTTAGTACGAATGGGCTAGGCGCAGGTCAGCATATCTGGGCACATGGTTAAATATGGTTATTTGGGGAGCCGTAACCATAACCACGAATAACCAGCAAACTCAGAACCATAACTGGTTATAACCACATAACCATATTATAACCATAACTGGCAAGGTGGTATCATGTGATCTAAACCCACTCAGTTGCATCTAATATCTGACCATCAATATCGTCATCTTCATCCATCACCGAGGCTTCCATAGGAAGGCCCATGCCACCAGACATGTAATTAATCGGTGTGATTAATTAGTGATTAATTGAATCTGAATCCGAGCCTAGGATTAATTAACTGAATCACTCTCCCCAGGATTAATTAAGTTTCAGCGATTCATTAAAGTGGGCCATCCAGAAAGTGCAATAAGATCATTGGGCGGTTCCGCCCCTTAACTCGCGTCCCTAAAAACATCAGTCAAGGCGTAGCAAACATGGCGGCGATCTCGGTACCATTCTTTGACGTGACCGGCGAAGATGTCTCCACGTGCGAGTCACAACACTCGGAGTCCCCCTGCTCCACGACTCTTGGAAAGCGCTCTCGAACACCCACCGCGCTAAGCATTTGGGCAGAGAGCCGACAACCGAACTGTCACGAGCCCGAGCGCAACAGGCACGGCCAGAAGATTTGGTACTGCAAACGCTGCTCCTACTCTCAAGCCTCCCATAATAGAGTACGAAGCCATCTCCGGGACAAGCACTGCATATGGATTGCTGAACAACAAACAGCCAAGAAGCTTGGCCAAGACATTGCCATCGACAGGCTGTTCAAGCAACAAGCTGCAAGACAAGAAGGCCACGATATTGAACAAGATAGGCACCTTCGAGCTGCTATCCATGAAGAGGCGTACAACCAGGCGTTAGTCAACCTTATCACTGTGCATAGCTTGCCGTATAGCCTTGTTGAGTGGCCAGAATGGTATGCCGTACTTCATACTGTCAATCGCATGGCGCCGGCTACAGTCACGCAGAGCCGGGGGCAAGTCCCGAGGCTTTTGGAGGCCAGCTTTTCGTCCCATCGCGAGGCTCTAGCATGCAATATTGCCGCTTCCGTCACTCAGATACATTTTACTATCGACACCTGGTCCTCTCCCAGTCAGCATGGTCTTCTTGCTATTGTGGCCCACTTCATCAACGACGAGAGTAGGCAGCCACGCAAGGCTTTGCTTGCCCTACGAGAGCTCAAAGGTGCACACAGCGGCGATTCCCTAGCAGAGATCTTCACGGAAGTTATTGATTCATACGGGATGCGCGACAGAATCGGCTACTTCACCCTGGACAATGCATCCAACAATGACACCATGCTGCGCGCTCTCGCCAACACCTTCGGCTTCAACCCAGCTCACCGCCGGCTGCGCTGCCATGGCCATATCATCAACCTGGCCGTGCAGGCATTCTTGTTTGGGAAGAACAAGGATGCTTCCGATGAGGCGATGCGTCAGGTGACAATGCTGTCCCGCAGGGAGCATGACGGCGTGGGCAGAAGGGCTGAAACAGCGCAGTCCTGGCGACAACATGGGCCTCTTGGGATGTTGCACAATCTGGTGGTATGGATTCGCTCATCGACGCAACGGTATCAGGCTTTCGTGCAGGCAGCCGGACGTATGATCCCGCAAGACAATTCAACAAGATGGAACTCATGGTACCGTATGATCCATGTTGCTCTCAGCCTCCGAAAGGAGGTCAATAGTTTCATCGATGACAGATACTCCGACAGTGATATTGGACTTGATTATCTTCATCCAGAGCATTGGCAGGAGCTGCAGGAGCTACACTCTTTTCTAGAGCCGTTTTACGAAGTAACCAAAGATACTCAGTGGGACAAGTCTTCATTGGATGAAGTGATTTGCTCCATGGACTTTTTTGTCACGCACTACAAGGCTGCCATGAAGCGGTACCGAGGCAACGTCACAATGACTGATCGAATTATGACGAGTTGGTACAAATTCGACGATTACTACACCCGAACCGATGATAGCCCGGTCTATGCAGCTGCCATTCTGCTTCACCCCAGCCTCCGGATGGCGCATATGACAGAAGCGTGGAAAGACCAAGCTCAGTATATTGAACCGGCGATCCGAGCTGTGCGTACACTGTGGGAAGACTTCAAGCCAGAGAAAGAGCCTGAAGTTGAAGAAGACATATCTGCTTACGAGGCGTATAAGAAACGAATCTATCAGTCCTCATCCACTCACGATGAGTTCGATCGATTCATCGAGGGGCCCGCTTTGCCAATTGGAGCATCCTCTGCCCTTTCTTGGTGGCTTGAGACTACTCAAAAAACATCGTATCCTTCGCTTCAACTCTTTGCCATAAGCATTTTCTCTATACCAGCGATGTCGGCGGAGGCCGAGAGAGTGTTCAGTGGGGCAAGGCGTACTGTTTCCTGGGATAGAACCCGGATGTCTCCGAAGATGCTGGAATGTACAGAGTGTCTGAAACACTGGATTGGTAACGGCCTTCTTGATCGGCCATTTCCACGTTCAGACCCGTTTGGTATTGAGCTAGATACTGATGAAGCCAAAGCAGCAGTGGATGATTCGTAGACTCCTGAAGCAGGTGCACTGGGCACAGCAAGACGATGCTGGGACTGTGAATTACGTAATGAATCATTGAATCATTAATTAATCCTTGAATCCAAAGTGCTGATTCAGTAATTCATCTGAATCCAGCTCAGGATTCAGATTAATTGATTAATTACATGTCTGGCGGGCCTTTCAGTACAGAACGTGGGCATTAAATCTCTGAGGACCCGTCTGAGTAAAGTACTCGTGCGGCAGATTTCTTCTGAGCTCCCAAGCCTTATTGACGAAATCACTAAGTTGTCTGCCGAATGCCAGAAACGCCTCCAGAAGCTCGGTTTGCCCCGTAACACCATTTATGAACAGAGAATGTATCTCATCCAGATTAGCCAAGCCTTTCAAGCCTTGCTTCAGGCTGCGGCCAATGGTGCGTACAACGACTCATACTTTGGTAATGCTATGTCTTCGGTCGGCTACCAGAAGCGTCTCCGAGCTGTGGTTCAGAGTCTGAATCGAGGCTTTGCGGCAAAAATGGCCTTCGATGGCCGGCGATACGAAGTTGTAGAGGACGGCGAGGAAGTTGGGTCGGAACGCCACGGCCACCTGACTCGAGACCAATACATTGAAAAAATTGTTTTGGTAATTCAGAAAGGTCGAGGTAGAGAACTACCTGGTATGTTCAACCCAATGATTGTTACGGAGCTATTCAAGGAACTCTCATCGCCGTGGGGAAAGATTGCCGAGGACCACGTCCTGGAAGTGTGGAAAGCGATTCGGCTGTCGTTGAACCACCTCGTCACTCGCCGACTCCACTACGGTCAAATCGATCTTGGCTGGCGTCTTTGAGCCACATCTGGATTCTTTGCAGAAGGTCCTGCACGAAAAGCTCTCTGGGCTGCTGAAGCCACACCGAACCGGCCACCCCATCACCTACAACCACTACTTTACGGAAGCTCTACAAAACATCCGCAAGGAGCGTGAAAAGTGCAGACTTGCCGCATTGATACAGGAGGAATTTGGGGCGGTTTCTTTGGTATCCAAAACCTCGATCAGCAGAACGATGGACTTTGGGCAGTTTCTTGAGCGACTGCTTGATCCGCGGGAGGCAGATATGGATCATTTTGCCGCTTCTGACGCACTTGACTGCCTGGATGCCTACTACAAGGTAAGACACCATCACGCGCCTATGGCAGCGTGAAGCTAACCAATGTTCGACTAGGTTGCTATGAAGCGATTTATAGATGACGTTGCGGTCGAGGTCATCGAGGCTTGTCTGGTGGGAAAGCTGAACGAAATCATGGATCCGACGTCCATTTTCACGATGAAGGACGCTGACATCACCCGAATTGCTGCAGAGACGGAAGAGAGTCGTGCGGCACGTAAGGAGCTCGAGACGAAGCTGAAAGTCCTCAGCAGCGGAAGTGAAATTTGCAAGACATTTGCAGCACTTTATGTCAATGGTTAGGCTGGTGTCCTGTCGGGTCGAGTGGCTTCTAACATTCTATAGCCCTGGACAACGAAAACGAGAGCAGCGACAACACGACCGATCGATTCAGTGATACTGGAAGCGAACAGTCTGCTACTGGTTCTGTAGCAACAGCGGGGAGCGCTGTTGACCTAGCTGATAGCTCTGCTCCTGAGGCTGTATTGGCTGATGATCTGATCTATGAGGCGGAGCCGGTAGTTGAGTAGCCTCATACAGAGTCGACTCCTGAATCGGTGGAGGATGTGTGGGTGGCGTTTCATCCAAGAGCAAGAAGGGTAAGAAAAATAAGAAGAAAAGGGCAGTGTTCAATGAACCAAGGCTCGTTGAGGCAGAATCTACCCTTCAGGACGACGGCTTCTCTGGCACTTGAGGCACGAGGATGAGGTAAACGGAAAGAAGTCATCGTGTAGCTTTCTGTTGCAGAACTGTCATGGACAGAAAATCCAATGTTGATTGGCCGCACTGCGTCTATTTTGTATCTCCGTTAGCAAGGCAATGGCAGGAAGCTCTCTCGCACAGTTTCTGTTGTTTTGGCAAAGTTGCAGTAGAATGCGATGCATCGATCGATGCGCACCGGTCTATTATTATATCTGAGGTGATACCGTCTATTCATCAACGCTGGCCTGCCACGTAAAAAAAGGTGCTTAGCGTAGGGCGGTGGCTAGACGGCGTGGATCTCTACGGCAGCCTATAGGGGTCACTGTTGCAAAACTCAGAAAGGCACAATCGAAGGCGTATGCGGTCTAAGACAGTACCCACAGTACTTTGGACCATGTACCTCATGGCGCGACTAATCTGTAGGAAACTGATCGAATTTTCAATTCCGAGGCGGAGCGGAGCAGCAGCGGAATAGCAGCGGCCATATCTGGCAGATTATCATTATACGCTTAACCCATCATGAACCTCAATCATCTTCCTCATCCGCCTCTCCAGCATCGCCACCTTCCTCCTCGCTCTCTGGCTTATTAAGCCTCTGAGTCCTAAGTCAGTACCAAGATAGTAGTCCGGTCTTGTGAATGCACTCACGATCCAGAGCCGAGCGGCGTCTGCGAGTGCCTCCAGCGCCAAATTTTCCGTTCCTTGAAAGTCTTCTCGAGCGAGTCAACTCGCGAAGCAATAGCGGGAACGGACTGTGCAGCGGTCGACGGTATAGCACCACAGGCACGTAGCTGCTGTGCCGCGTACTGCGCAGCATTGCGCCAGGCGTCGTCGGGCTGGCCATTAGCGTCTCTGATCTGCCGATTCAACCGCCAAAAAACACGTACGGCCGCAACGGCGCCAGCGGGCACCTAGATATACAAGCATGTAAACGGCCGGGTATAATTCTTGTCCAGCGAAGGTTTACCTACAGGCTTACAAGTGTGTCCCATTTTGGCGCAGTCCCAACATGCCGCACCAGTATCTATCTTGTCAGCACTTTCAAGGCCAGAGATGCTCTGCAGGATAGTGGTCTTACTATCTTGGGACGCACACTCGTGGCCAGGCGCTTTTGTGGCGCGAGTAACACATGGGCGGCAAGGGAAATCACGCTGCGAGCCGATAGGGGGGGCTTTCTTCGTTGACTGTTTCCTCTTCTGCATCCACAGGCCCATTAGCTATTTCTACCCGTCAATACAACGACGAATGGTCTCACCGTAACCTTGCTTGGGGTTGGGCGGGTGCTGGCGGTGTCCGTTCGTTTCCCGCCGTGCATTTTCGCGTTGTTTTTGCTGGAGCGTCTGTTTAGCGTTCCGTCGCCAGCAGGCTCCGTTATCTTAGTCTGATCGGCAGCAGGCATGATAATGATTAGCCCAGGTAACTCTGAGGCAGGAGTCTATGGTGCAAAGAAACAATTCCGAGCAACTGGAAATAGGCGGAAGTTTATGAAACTGGCGGCTTGAGACGCACCGCTGTTGACCAAAACTCCTTCAAACCTCAATCGCTGCGGGCCAGCGTCAGCTCCGCTGCGGGATAGTGCGGTCAGCCACCCTGTAAGGGATCCTACCAGAGAGGCCCCTTTCCTGGCTCACTCCTTCCTCTTACATCTACACTGGTACCCACCTTTGTAGA